GATTTTCCTGGGGTAAACAAAAATTTCCCCATACTTACCAATGTTAAATGAATCCATTCAGATGTTCAAAGTTAGTCCGTGTTTTTTTGGTCTTTTGAAATTATCTTTTAAGACATTATTACAGAGGTACAGCCATCTATGAAAGTCCACATGGTCGCATGGCAAGCACAGATCCCAGAATAATTGCAATAGCTGCTGTTTAGGTGGTAAAATGGAAATTATAATATTTATATGACTTGCTAAAAATAAATTTACTGTGAAATATGAATCTCGGACGACCAGCTGTTATCCCTTTTACAGGTACTAACTGTCAGGCAGGGTTCAACCTGACCCCAGGGGCTGGCGGTCTACACCTCAGCTATCACCACAAACTGGACAAACAGGTCCAGATGGGGGTTGAGTTGGAGACCAGTTTAAGAATGAGGGAAAGTGTCGCCACTTTTGGGTACCAAGTAGATTCTGAAGATGGTAGTACGACTTTTAAAGGTAGGTTTGGCAGTTGTATGAGTTTCTTATGTTGTAAGAAGGCTGTTATCTCTGCATGGTTGACTTTCAGGTCTGCTTTATGTTTTTCAGTTTGGAGAATGGTTATTTCCTCTCTTTTGGTACAGGGAAGAGATTAAAAAGATAATGAAAGCATTTTATTTGAACAATAAAAAAAGTCTGTCACTAAATTTATTTTAGGTCAACCAGTGTCTTTGTGTAAATTATATTAGTAATAAAGTTATGTGAATTATAGAATGTTGAATGTTTGATACTGATAGAGATGAAAATTTGAGGTAACAAATGCATGGTATTTCCAATTATTGTTTCAGCTCAAGCAGACACAAATTGGTGTGTAGGAGCAACATTGGAAAAGAAATTACTACCTATGCCCTTCTCACTTATACTTAGTGGATTTGCTAACCACCCAAAGTCTTCCTACAGGTTTGGTATAGGATTTATGGTTGGATAGCCTTTCTTGGACACAGTGCCCTCTATTGTGCACAGGTGGCAACTAGAATGTTTAAATGCTGCATGAACATGACACTTAGGAAATTGTTGTATATTATTGGAGAGAACTTGAGTTGTGGATAGAAATATATGTGACATTTTAAGGATGTTACTCTCTTGTCAGAGGACAGCAGGGTAATGGGGCATCTTTGTTTTTTTATGCACCAACAGAGCTGTATGTCTTCTTTCAGAAAGATGACAGTAACAGTGTCTGGCATTCTCACTGCTTTTTTACTGCCAATACAAAATGGACCCATTTTTCTTGGGTTAGAAGTTGGTATTTTTACAGTGTATTCGTATTTAAAAATTATAAATTAAGTATGTCGTTTCATAATGGCATGTGAGATAACAGACAAATTGCCAAAGGTAAACACATGAAGTGCTTTTGAACGGGTTCTGCTGCTCATCTTACTTATGCCGAGATATATGATAGAAGATGAATCAGAGGGGAAAATTGTATATTATGTATTATTCTTAGAGCAATTGATCATCACAGTAATGGAAACCAGACAGGTATGATATTGGTCACAGGTTTGTGAATTTGTTAAGAGCCAGCTGAAGTACGCATTTGGAATAAGTTTTGTTTCAGTATTGCTGTAATGATTATATATATTATATAAGTTTCCCACAAAGTGATATATATATATGCCTTAATTGAAAACCAACCTTTATTACTTTATCACCATGTCTGTCACAGGAAAGTGCAGAGACATGCCAGTAACTCAGTAAGCATTTTTTTATAATTTTTTATCCCAGCAAGATCTGAAAGTTGTTGTGCATGTCTGTAAAGTAAGATCCTATTAAGTGTCAGTTATTTGGGAAAAAACATTTGAGGTGCCTACTTTAGGGTATACTTCACATAAGACATAATCTCCATATACTTGAGACCAAAATTGGCCAAAATTTTTTATCATGTGGATAGTACATTGGTAGTTGTCTACTTAGAAGATAATATTTTGGGCCGTTTTCTTCAAAGTATGATATGTCTGATGTGATGGACTAACAGTTAACAACTATTATAGCAAACCACTCCACCTTTATCCTGAATAGTAATTAAGATGTTCTTAATTGTGTGGCTGTGTCCTATAGTCAAATTGAGAACCTTGAAAAATCTTACTTTTGTGCTCTTTTCAAGCTTGTTCAAATTGTTTGTTGATTTGTTTACCGTATATCATGCTAAGTTTTCATACACATGAAAGAAGTTTAAATTAAAGATAAGATATAATTATTATTATTGTTATTATTCAGTGCTGATTTAATACTTTTAATTGCTGGATTATATATCAGCATTTCAATATTCATTCCATTTCAAAACGATATAATTATTCAACCTAATATTACATTGTTCCAGCCAATATACTTTCATATCTGCCTCTGTTATGCTAATGACTTGCCTTTTAAAACCAATTGTAATACACTTTTCTCTTTATATGGCTAGAAGGTGAGGGTAAATTGTCTGTCATCTTATATTCCTGTCTTGAAGAGCGACATTGCTCTGTTAAATATAATCTAAAAGATCAGAAAGGTTTATTAAGTTAACACATAATTAGCACGCATTTGTATAAAGGGGTTTTATTGAAATGTAAATGATGCATATTAAATTTAATTTGCCTGTAAAACATTAGTTAATAGTTAGTCCTTATTCATCGTGTATTTTGCTTGTATATTACAATTCCAGAGTGACTGGCTTATGAAGCGTTCCTGCTGTCTCTACACTGGTGCATAACCAAAAAAAAAAATCTTTGTCGCGTTCTTACTTTTGAAAAGAAAAAGACAAAAATAATAATTGATTTTGTGTGAATCAGGGTAAGTACACATGGACCAAGGAGAAAGCCTACTCTTTCGGCATTACAGCTGCCACTTTAATTTTTTTACCAACACTCTATTATTATTTTTTTAGCAGTTTACTACTGCACTAAAACTAGAAGAGACACGGATGCAATAAATGAAGTCATGTATGGCGGATTCAATTTTTTTCTATAAATTTCCATGCATCAGAATTTACGTATCATTTATGCCAGATAATTTTCAAATCCTTTATCTTAATATATATATATATATATATATATATATATATATATATATATAAGCTTTAGGATAAGTTTTCCAGGAAACTTACAGTGTAAGTACTTCGCTCATTCACCAAGGCAGGTGTACACAGTTATGTAGTCGGAAATTGCCAACCTAAGATGAAGAATATACAAAACTACTTAAGTAGTTGTTATACAACGTGTTAACGTGCCAAAATTATTTTTATCACGCGAGGATCCCATAGCTGACCGTGTATAACTATTAGCACCCGTTGTACAACGAGGGCTCCGTGGTGTAGCGGTTATCACATCTGCCTAACACGCAGAAGGTCCCCGGTTCGATCCCGGGCGGAACCACTTTTGTTACATCGCAGCGTTACTGTAATTCGAAATCCGATTGTCGGTTCATAGTGGTTTGGAGACTTGTGGGTCCCAGATAATAAGATGCAAAAGGACATGAGTTATAAGAAGAATACCAGCGGGTCTGTTCTGCGGGAAAATTAATTTCAGATCTGAAATAAACACAGAAGTGAAATTGGTATTATGTCTGCAACATCTGGAATTATATTGAATCTTCACCCAAATTTATATGAAGTTAAGATCACTGACAATAAAAGCATGGAATCAAATATAAATGGGAAGCACACATTTTAGGGTTAAATTTTGAGCTGTTGCCGAACAAGTCCACCAGACCCACCCAATGCTGCCCCCTCTTCTCTTCCACACAACCCTAGTAAGCGTACTTGTAGGCAGATTCGGTCTTATAATAACATAATATGATGATATAATATATTAAAACAATGGCTCCATCCTATTTCAGTCATCCTGAATTTTCAAATGCCCCGTATCAGAAAACGACTGCCACAACCGTACGTGCCATAAAATCGGCGTTAAATGAATGGTTTTGTACACCTATTTAATTTTCTTCTTTTATTATAAATTGCATTCTATTTGTAAACATTGATAATTGAAATCTGTGTCGGAACAATTGAGTAAACAAATAATTAAAGACAGCATAAAATGCTTGTGTAATAAATTCACCAGAGAACCCAGCAATTGCATATATGACTTTGTCTATACAAAATAATTAACAGATTGAATAAAAATACATTTTAAGCAATGCATTTAGTTAACACATCAAATTCTAATCAATTTCCCTTTCTCTTCTTTATGAAAAAATGGGTATTTTTTTAGGAAGTTTTCTTATTTCCGTTAAGTCATCATACCAAGGGACAAACCGAATTAAACACTGTCAACCACATAAGAGCTTTACGCTGCACCTTCTTCAAAATTTTGGATGTAATTTGGTCAACTTATCTGCCCCGTTTATGAACGATCATGAACTATAAAGTATTTCGATATACAACTATAGCGTACTGTATATATGCTACACCAAGCTTATTACAACGGAATAGTTCATCGCAACAAAATTTTAAAAATCAACGTCTAGATATCTTCATACAAATTCTTGAATGCATTTCATTTCCACATATATCCACACCACACCTAACCCATAACAACAATTTTATGATTTTTATAACCCAACATTCCTTATAGTTTTTTGTCATATTAAATTTAAAAAGTTAACATATATTTTCATTTTTGTTGTCGGCGGTTTATGAAAAACATCACGAACAACTTCTCAGATTAGAAGTCCCGAATTTGTTATCCATAATTAAACAGTTATAATAATAATGATAATAATAATAATTGGATGTTTTCAATATACACATGAGTTATTATAAAGTATTCAAACAAAATCTCCGCAGAATATACAAAATTTGTTCAAAAGGTAATGACACAGCGTCCCGGGCTTTGTGGCTCTTGTAAAACTTTGGGAGAACTTATTATACAAATGCACAGCAAAAGACTCTCTTTGCAGAACGCGTTGGAGGTCAGGAGTGTTTTTATCGATGAAACACTTCGTTTTCACTTTTCTATACTCTATCGGGTAAAATGACTTCTGATATAAGCCTCTCACAATGCAAGACTTATTGCTTTGCAAATCCTCAGCACTGCTGACATCACACATCCAAGTGGGATGTCTTCTCGCTACGCGCGTGAGGAGACTTGGTCCGTTCGCCTCCCAGACATTCTGATTATAGTTATTTAGGAATTCTTTTATGCACTCCCGGAGAAAAGGGTTGTGCTTGTCAAACTTGAGAACTGCTCCATTTAACACAGTATGATCACTGTTTTCCCATGCAGTTACATTATTCAAATCTTTCAAACTCTTAACTAAAATAACGTCAGTGTCCATATAAATGCCGCCATGTAGATAAAGCAGTACTATTCTGATCAAATCTGTCTCGTGGCTATACCAAAATCGTCCTTTTGAAATAACCGGTATTTTTTTCAAAAAGGTTTTTGATCGTTCTGTAAAAGTGTGTGGATCCAATCTTTGCACATTTTTTAGTAACCCTCTGAGAGTATAATTTCTGACCTCAACATGAAAGCCCGCTTCAGTGAACGCAGAAACCTTGTTTTGTGACAGAGAATTGCTTAAAATGCGTACTTTTGCATTGGGATGGTGGTAAAAAATACTCTCGAGCGAACGGCGATTCCTTTGCGTTACTTCACTTGTTGTGTAAACCTGAAAGAACGTCAATGCAGTTCTTTCGTTTGTCTTTAAAGGTTTAAGAGGCACTATCCCAAATGTAATCGCCGTTTCTCGCAATCCAGAGAATTTCCGTATCTCGTGCCAGAGGGTGGCGCGAAAGTGCATGTGAATTTCATGATTTGGGTTCATTTCTGGTTTGTCCCAGTTAAAGTTTTCCAACCCCTTGTATGACGTCATCATTCTGTCCACCGTTACTGTATGGAAAAGTTTCGTTAAACCTTCTGTGCGATTTCCTCCTCCTCCGGGTAAGAACGCCGTTTCCACAAAAACAACTGGAATTCCCATGGCAACGCATGGAAGAGCGCTATGGATGCGTGACGTCAAAACCAATTTTGCACGTGAATATTGTTCCATTAAACGGCGCGCTTCTTCATACCGTTCTATTCTGTCAAATTTCATCGAAAAGGGCAAGTTATGAGTGACCCTAATAATTGATTTTCTTATGTGAGAAGGAACAATTATTTCTACAGCTCGCCAATCCACGTCAACGACAAACACGTCCTCTCTTTCTTTAACCGGATTGGGATTGTGCATCAGAAGTGTCAAACAGGCCGACATATACACTGAAATATTCTGCTCGCGTAAAACTTTGACTGTGTTCTCGTCACGAGCACCTACGGATCCATGTTCTTGGAAGTAATTATTCCCAGGCACAGTTAATAGCTTCTTCCGGAAATTTGGTCCAAAATACATGGATAACATTAAAGGCTTAAGATTAATCTTTGGCGGCCATATCATGTCACCGGCGTTATACCATGCGTTTAGAAATATTGTAATTGATTCATTTGGTTTCTTTGTTTGGCCAGACTTTTTTCTTAGATGAGCTCTAGTATCTTCAGCTTCAAATTTGTCATCTCCGGCTTGGCTTAAGTAAAAGGATCTATTATTTATATTATCGAGCTTTCTGTTTCTATTTCTAGTGATTTCCGTCACATTGACAAGTTTCTCAGTAATGTCCGGCTGCGCGTATGTCTCTATGCACGTGACGTCCCATGTGTCACGGTCCACAAATCGGTCAGCAAAAGGAAGAAACTGGATCGCAGCTAGGGCCTGAATCTCATCTCCGGCGTTGATATCTTTCGCCACAGTGACTCGATGGTCAAAGCTTAAGACACCATAAAGATTATCTGGTAAAAATTTGAATACAGGCTCCTTGGCAGTCATTTTAACTTGTTTGTTATCTACCTGACTAAGAACTTTTGAACGCCACAAAACAGAATCGGTGTGCCAGTTTCGGATCTGACTTCTACTATGACTATTGTAAGTTGACTGAATCACAACCATGGCATTTTTGACGAAAGGAGAACGTCGTTCAAACCTGGATATTGAAAATATACTTTCATTACCCATCCATTCTCCCTTGAAATATTCATCGGGTAACGTTGAGGTCAATATTGACGGTAAATCTATGAACAGTCCACCAAATGTCCAGAGTGCGAGCAAAACACTTATTTCTTGCATGAGCACTTGAAATTTACGACCCATGACCAATTTGAGGATTGCAGATTTGGAAACAAAATCATCCAGAGGAGTATTCTTTGCTAAGACAGGTAGTAGTAAACGAAGAACTTTGGAGCGTTTAGGTAGCTTGTCTTCTATTTGATCCATACATTCACTGTTTCCACACATGAATATTACGCTCCTTGCCGGATTGAACTGGTTAAATGTTTTCATTTTATCCATTAACGGTAGAGGAATTGGGGTGTAGTGAGACCACACCATGACAACGTCTGAGGTCGTATTTGAATATGGGCCAAATTGATGATGCGCTGTGAGTAAAGTATCCTCTTTATAGAATGTTGAAAAGGATGATTCGGACTCGTCAGTTATTGGCATAACAGTAGGTAAAACGCGAGTAAACCGACGAGGAGGGCCCTGATTCTCCGGGTAGATGGTTGCACCTTCAGATGACTTGACGGGCCGTGCCTTCGCCCTCAAATTTCGACTTGCTAAACCTTTTTCTTTTGCT